GTATGTAGTTGTATTTTTATATCTATTTTTTTCATTATTTTCAACACAAGCATTTAATTAATCATGTCCCAATCCTGCTCCTAATTAATAATTTTTCTTAATAGAAAGCTAATTCTCGATATATACAATAAAAAATAGAAAGCTAATTTGCATACCATTTAAGAAGAGAATGAGGAGTCACAGATAAAACGTTCGAGAGACTTGCGCGATGGGCTGAGACACGTGTGGAGCCTTGGGGCTTCAAGCCCGGAGCATCTTTGGCTGAACGGGGCTTACGATCCAGTGGTGTCATTTTATTTTATTTTTGGTTTTTAATTTCACTTCTTTTTCTTATGTCAGTACTTTTAGCAGCAGAAAAAAGTTTTCTCAACTATTGTTCAATTCAGAGCATGTACTTTCATTTGATATATGAAGAATATGTAGTAATATATAATATTTTCTCAATTGCTTATGAAGAAAAATGATCAATCCACGAGTCCGTACATAGATTGATTTGGATCAATTATACTATCAGTTTGAAGCGTAAAACGAAACCAATTTGAATCGTATGCGGTTTGAAGTCGCATTCGAATCAAATCGGAACTCGTCTATCTATCTGTAATACTTTCCTCTCCTCCTTTGCTACTGAATATATGCCATACTAGACAGTTTAGCCATCAAGTTCTAACAATTTTCGGGATCATTTTGTTTGTGTTCGTGTTTTTTGCTATAAATGGCAGATTCCACATGACCAAATATATAATGCATGTCAAATGGCAGACTTTTGTTGGTTTTATAATTCTGAGCCGGTAAGGTTTAACAAAAAGCAAAGCATGTGTCATTTGCCATGATCATAATCGTCTGCAGTACAATTTTCATGCTCATTTTGTTTATGCTAGGTGAATTACTCTATCTGTGACTACACATGTTATAGCAATGCCTACAATGCCAAAGTGGGAGCAGTGAGCACCGCAGAGATGAACAAATTAGAGTTGAATCTAGATTTTAAACTGTATGTAACCACAAAGATTAAGCTAAGGTGTTGGAGAGAACCAAATTGGTCATATTTCACTATTACGATCACATAAGTCACATATGGGCCATAAAATCATTTCTTTGCCTATTAGTTGGGAAAGGTGGGTGAGATGAAGTTAGCATATCCTTCACAATAAATCAAGATTGATTTGAGTCTAAGGCTTGGTTCTTCACTTCTTTGATGTGGCTGTCTATGCTGTTGGGCTCTTGTTGCTTCCATTTCGTTCACCCAAAAGCATGTGGGTTGGAGCTGGACTGATTTTGGTGTGTAAATATCTCCATTCATTGTGACTTTTAGTTGCATCTAACAATGCCCTTCTTATAATTATTTTGACTTTTCCCAATCTTTTGCTGGGTGCTTCAGGGATCATATTACTCATAATCAACTTTGAAGGAGTAAGACAAATGTTCTTCCCTGTGACAGAGCTACCATATTAGGGTTTAGAGTTTAGGATTTAGGGAGTCAGACAAAGATGGTCATTAGGATTGGTATTTTTTGAGGGAGTAAGGTTTTGGTAGGGATTGTTTGGCAACATGGTGTTTTGAAAAAAGATCCCATAGATATGATGGTTTTCAGAAGGCGATTCGCGGCAGAGGTGGTTTTTGGGTAAGGTGTAGGAGGAAGGAACAAAAGGATCCTGTTGTTTGATGCTGCTGTAGTATTAATGGGTCTCTGACTCTCCATCTATGTTATTGTTAAAAGGGTGCTAAAAATTTTGGGGTGAGAATCCGAATTAATATAAGACATCAACAAAAAGATTTTGTAGTTTGGAAAAAAGAAAAGATTTAAGGATAATAGAAGGGAAGTGTAAGAGTAATAGGAGGAATGTTTCTTTGGGTTAACAGCTTTTAGGGTTTTTAGAAAGAGAAAAGGTATAAATCTTATCAATCTATTCTTGCATGAAATATGACCCTCACCAGCCAAAGTAGAATCAAATGTTTAAGATATGCATAGTTTTTTGCGAATTTAAATTGGATTTAATTTCCTATAATCTATGGATAAAATGTTCTGTTGGTAATTCAAAAAATTGAGCATCTTGTTGTGGGCTTTTAGCCCACCTTGTTACCAAAAATTATAAATAAATAAATAAAATTGAGCATCCTTTATTTTACAATAAAGATTTGAACTCTTTATTGGCATAATACACTTATGTTCATATTAAAAAATGGAGTGTTATTATATGTTTTTATGTTAGTTATGACATTTTAGTAGCGGCGCATATAGATACCGTGTATATTAGTATTGTTGTGACAACTCAATCTTCATGTTGTTTAAGTTGTTTATCTCTAAAAAATTCAGTAATCTAATGCATACAAGCTTAACTAACGAAGTTTTTGATGTCAATTCTCAATTGACATAAAAATGTTGTGTTTATTCATAATTAATTGCACTTACTCTCTTATATGAATCTGTCTATTGATATTGTATCTGTCCTTAAGTCAAATGCATATGATATATCTGGCTCCTTTACTTGTCTCAATATAAATCAAGAAGGAGAGAACCCCTCCTATATGAAATAGGAAGAATACTTGTATTAATTGACTTAGTAAATACACATTATACATGAACTATATATTCTTATTAAACACTCATGTTGTGATGTTCAAATATAAAATATATGGGTATTTTAATATAATGTATTATACTTGTATTGTATATATTAACATTTCAAAATTTTGTTTTTATTTTCAATAATATTACTTCTTGTCGTGCTTTCCATTGTAACTTTTAAAATTTGTTATATATGTACACTTTGAAAATTGTAACATAAAATTGATTGTTGTATGTAGTTGTATTTTTATATCTATTTTTTTCATTATTTTCAACACAAGCATTTAATTAATCATGTCCCAATCCTGCTCCTAATTAATAATTTTTCTTAATAGAAAGCTAATTCTCGATATATACAATAAAAAATAGAAAGCTAATTTGCATACCATTTAAGAAGAGAATGAGGAGTCACAGATAAAACGTTCGAGAGACTTGCGCGATGGGCTGAGACACGTGTGGAGCCTTGGGGCTTCAAGCCCAGAGCATATTTGGCTGATCAGGGTCATGTTTTTTTTTTTAATTTCACTTCTTTTTGTCAGTACTTTTAGCAGTAAAAAGTTTTCTCAACTATGAAGAGTATGTACTTTCATTTGATATATGAAGAATATGTAGTAATATATAATATTTTCTCAATTGCTTATGAAGAAAAATGATCAATCCACGAGTCCGTACATAGATTGATTTGGATCAATTATACTATCAGTTTGAAGCGTAAAACGAAACCAATTTGAATCGTATGCGGTTTGAAGTCGCATTCGAATCAAATCGGAACTCGTCTATCTATCTGTAATACTTTCCTCTCCTCCTTTGCTACTGAATATATGCCATACTAGACAGTTTAGCCATCAAGTTCTAACAATTTTCGGGATCATTTTGTTTGTGTGTGTGTTTTTTGCCATAAATGGCAGATTCCACATGACCAAATATATAATGCATGCCACATGGCAGACTTTTGTTGCTTTTATAATTCTGAGCCGCCAAGGTTTAACAAAAACCAAAGCACGTGTCTATTTGCCATGATCATAATTGTTGCCGGGAGTCTGCAGCACAGTTTTCATGCTCAATTTGTATGTGCTAGGTGAATTACTTTATCTGTGACCATAGATGTTATAGCAATGCGTACCATGCCAAAGTGGGAGCAGTGAGCACTGTAGAGATGAACAAATTAGAGTTGAACCTAAATTTTTAAACTACATGTAAACACAAAGATTAAGTAAGGTGTTGGAGAGAACCAAATTGCCCGTATGTCAGTAGCTGGGAGAGATGAAGTTAGTACGTGAAAGACAACAAATCAAGATTGATGGAATTCTAAGGCTATAATTGTCTTTGCAATAATTCATGTTGTCCAGTCATTATTGATTTTGTTAGTATTGCAAATTGATGGGTTTCCATGCACTCATGCAGTGGTTACAATGCTAGCAAACATAGATTGTGTTTATGATTAGATTGAGGGTTATTTCAAGTGTGAAGGGAGGCATATGATACTCCTGTTATGACTACATCATACATTGGGAAATGTGTGGTCAGCAATGATGCAATAGGCGCAGTTGCTCTTCACTTGTTCTTCCTTTGATTACAAAGAGACCGACCAGAAGACTATCAACAATATCGAAGGGACCGACCAGAAGACTATCAACAAAGAAGATCAAGTCTTTTGCAGAAGGTACTGGACCATTGGTCATGAAGTTGTTAAGTTTGTTAGGGTGGTTACTTGGTAAGAAAGCAACTATATTAGGTAACTAATAATTCATTAGTTATTCATGCTCTTAAGAAACAGAAACTGTTCTTGAATTAATCAAATAACATAGGCTTTCATTGACTAAGTTAAGATATTTTGAGTTTGGTAGAATGATAGGTTCTATCACTGGTATCAGACCAAGACTAACCCGTACTTCCCTTCTCTTGTATGGATTGAACTAAGAACTATATAATACAATTTTGAATTCAAATGAAAATTCCATACACAAGTGTATTTTGCTACACTTATACGATTATGCCTCACTTTGAGGCTCTGGTATCATATTGAAAAGAACATATTTTGTATGCACTAATCAACACATCTATATACAAATAGACAGAAGGGAGACAAGCATTTATGCAATTTGGTTGCCATCAAGGGTATCACTTTCAGCATCGTTAGTCAGGGACAAAAGTTCTGTCAGCTCCATCCGATACTCAAGACCTTTGAGGTAGTGTCCTAGAAGCATGCACCTTCAGAAAAAGAAAAAACTGGATGAATGAAAATGGATGACAGGAGCATTTGTAGGACTATATCTTCAAGGTAATAGAACAAAGAATGGATTGAATAATGTCTTGTCGGGTCAAATTCCAAATTACCACACAATAAAGTGCCCAACAGAAAAGGAATAGAATGGACCGAAAAAAAACCTTAGCATAATAAGAACAGAAAAAGGAGCTGGCCTAACCAGAAGAGGAGACGTGCTAGGTAGTCCCGCGTTAATGAAATAAGTGGCTGAAACTGAAGTGAAGTGTTCTCAACAAGCTCAGCACAATCTTCACTCCCAACATTTAATACTCCAGTTGAGGCATTATCAGATAAAGGAGGTGCCTTAGAATGCATCTTCGGTGAAAGGGTTGCAAGCAGACCGTGGATAACAGAGTGAATTATTTCTTTCAGTTCAGGTGATGTTGGTTCTGATAACTCAGCTACCTGTTCATAGAGTTTATTGTGTCAGTCACAAGATATAATCAGAACCAGCCCGGCAGGGGTTACTAGAAGAAGCTAAACTTGAAATTTTTTTACCCATAAATACCCCAAGGTTAGAGCACAACCATACTGCAGAGAAACATGGAGGAGGAAATCTGGTAGTGATTATCAACTATCGTACAATCTAATATACAGGAAGAAAAATTAGAAAGATCAATGTAGAATTATGTTACTGTAACCTGATAATGTCCAACGAGTCCGACAGTTAACCAAAAGCCACATCATCCCTATACATCCATGGACATGAATTAGACTACCACGTCAGCATATATTATTAGTTTAAAAGATGGGGGAAAGTGAAGGATTGCATTGATGGCCTAATCTGGCTACTCAAGGAGTTTAGAGCATGATGAAGATTTAATAGTTTATGAAATGAATCAACCAGTGGAAAATGAGACACTATTTTCCGATGTTAGAGGTAGGATGGTAGCAATGCAACTGGTACTCTGAAATAACATCAGTAGTAAACCTGGACTTTTTTTCCAAGTTAAACAAAAAATGTTAGGAATTCCTATGATGTGATCCTTGAAAAAGGAAGAAACAAATAGCATTAACACCATTTTGAATGTATAGAGAATAGGAAAAGGAAAGAAGGATGTCTGACCAACTGTTATTAATTTCACTTCTTTTTCTTATGTCATTTTATCAATAAAGGGGATTACGAGGAACTTCATTGATCAAGGTTGTAGGGTAAATCCCCTAGAGCAAAAAGTTTCGTTAGGCTCCAAAGACATACTATTCACTGCAGGATGGTACTGGTGTACAAGAGCTAGCATTAAAAAGCTAATAATCACCAAATCTAATGTAAAGCCTGCAGTACCTACCCCCAGATCACTAGCATATGACTATGCACAAAGATCCACCATCAGCAATGCTGAATTCAACTACTATTTGGAAGACCAAATTAAGAAAATAACTTTTGAATGTTGTATTAAATGGAAACCTTTTCTGGCTGTAGTGATCTCAAATAGTCCAGCAAATCATTCTTTTCTTCTCCAACAAACTGTTGCATTTGAAGAGCAGCACTTTTTCTCTTGACATCATGGAGTTCCTTCAAGAAAACAAAAAAGTTAAACATGAGAATTCCTTTGAAAAATGGAGAAAATCTCAATCAATGCCAATGGAAACTCACTTGGAAATAGAAAAGAAATTCAAAACATACATGGTTTACTTTGTTTCTGATAACTGCAATTAAAAGACTAATTTTTTATCAGAAGAAAATTCAATCAGTATAAGCAAATGATAAAACTTTCTGGTTCTGTGGTACAAACTTGGGACTTGCATAAAAGACAGCATTATGGCCTTCTATATTACGCAAACCCATCACTTCACTCTGCTGTACATGGGATGACCATTGGCATCCCATCAACTTTAGCACTAAACAATGACTCGTTCATACAACCAACAAAACTTCCAAACCCAGCAACTTGAATTAGTACACACATGATCTCTAAATACAATTTTGCTGAGGCCAACACTTCCATTCCACCCTTGTTCTTCAATGCTTTTAACAAGTGCCTATCACTTTACCGTTTCTAGAGTTAAGCATGGGACAAAACAGAACATTACTTTAGATGCTTCCACATAAGAGCGTGATAAGCTGAGCTGACCACTGAATGAATTGTGAAACCCAACAAATTCATGTCATTAACTTGAACTTCTTTTCCTACCATGGAAGATTCCATATAATGCTACTGAATACCTTTTTGACAGAAGATAAATGAGCCTGCACATGAAGAATGTATTGTAGAGCCTCAGGAGACACTTCACCAAGACCTTGAATATCAATATTCTCCAATGAGTCTTCAGTAACTTCTCCATCTTTGGATGAAAACTCATCTTTTGAAGGAAATTTGATTATGTTTGCACTTTCAAGCAACATCCCTTGCAAATCAACCTCAGAATTTTCTGGTGTTTGTTTTTCAAGTTTTTTGTCACACATATCAAAATTCTGTTCTAGGCAAAGCCTATATTCAGCATTCCTTAAGGTATACCTGCAATTAATGAAGAAATTCTATAGGATGTCAAGTACACCTCCAGAATTTTGATTCACATTTGTTGTTAATAAATACAAACGTACTTTAAGTACCAACATATAATAGTATGTCAAATTTAACTAGCTAACTATTTGAGTATCAGTTCCATTGCATCAAATAAACACAAACATCAAACCTGTAATTGGCTAAGGAGTGAGAAAAACTAAATACAGGCTTTAATAGAAGAGAAGCAAACAATTTGACCAAACAATATTAGAGTTCTCTCTCAGAACAGCCGAAAAGAAGAATTACAAAACATAACTAAATTGTTGTATTGGATATAGAAGATTAACATACCCAGTCATCATTGAAGAAACCAACAACTTAGATAGAGGTTCCCATAAGGCCTCAATAAGAACTTGAAATTGATCAGATGGAAGTAATCCCAACATGCCCGAAATTGTCCTTTTCATGGCATCCACAGTGGTAGGTGGAACATCTTTCTGAATAAGGCTCACGTTCAAGGGTTCTATCTCTTGTATCAAATTCGAGAGAACTGATTTCTAAAAGAATGGGCAAATCAAACAAATGACAAGATTATTGTTAAGAAATATATGTGCGATGGAGCTAAATGTCATTGAAGCATTGGGGGTTCGTCGAAACACACAAATGCAAATATGATAGGCAAGTTCATCGAAAAACTCGAAACTAGTTTAATTAAACAAATTCACAACAGTATGTTATCATTCTATCAATTTCTAAAACTTGATACCTCTCTCTCTACGATGTGATATATTCAATAGAATTTACCCACAATCTACAGAGTTTTATGAACACCAATGCTTTGAACTCACTGCCAATTCAATCTAAATTCCATCTCTTAAACCGCAATTCTAGCTTAACAGTACGAACCAAGTTAACTTAAGCTAAAATTCGAGAGAAAAATAATAGCTGACCTTGGATTTGGAGGATTGAATTGGGCGCGAGCTGCTTCTGGAGCTGAGATCGTCAAAAGGAGAAGCGGAGGAAGAAGCGAGAACTAGGCCTGAGAATCTTCTAGGGTTGAGGTTAGAGGTGGTGGTGGAGAAGATAAGAGGAGGAGGGCGCAGAGGAAGTAGAGGAAGAGAAGAAGAGAAGGAGACGAAGGAGGGAAGGGTCGCCATGGAAAGAACATTCACCACGGCACCACTGACCTTTTTCTCTCTCTCTCTCCTCTCTTCTCTCTCGCTCTTTCTTTCTTCCTCTGCCAAGTGCCAAAGCCCCTGTCCTTAACTGTAGTCTGTAACCAACAGCAACCACGAAAACCAAGAATCCAAGAAACCAAACGTTCGGGTCGACCCGTCCAATAGCCAACCCACCTATTTCTTTTTCTCTTTTCTTTTCTTTTCTTTTTAATAATGGGCTGGCTTCGAACCTTGTCCATTACCAATATTGGGTTGGGTTCTCAAGCAATGAATAATTTGGACGACGAATTGCTCTGTAAAAAATCAACATATCATTAGTTAGTTTGTTAAGAAGAAAATGAAACGTTCACTTGCCTCGTCGAAACAACAAAATCCATATAAATTTGGGATTCGAGTTCGGAATTGTGCCCATAAACATGTTGCTCTAAGTCTTTTTAATGTAAATCACAAAAATTATAAACCGTCAAGAAATCGGTTAACAATAGTATGAATCATACTAATAACATTTTTCTACATTTAAAAATATAAACGAATACATAAATTACAGCCTTACAATCGTATTTCAAACTTCTCGAAACTAAAATTCTGATATCATGTTAAACAACTCAAATGCTTAAAGGTTGAAAAATAAGTGAGGAACATGTACCTTTTTATCTAAATTGTTTCGATTATGGAATCCATTGTCTGCAGACATGACAGCCAAAAAGTTGAGCTTTGCATTCAGTGACTCAGAGCAACTTATCTATAATTTATCTACTTCGTAATGCCACTGATGCCAACAAAAAAGGAGGAAGGATGTATTTGACTAAATAATATGCAATAGCCATTTAAACCTTTCTGAGGTGTACACGCGTCCCTTTGTGATAGGTCCATAGTGCATGCCCTTATAACTTTCCATGCATCAAATCAAATCAACATCACACACTATAACCAGGCATGAGGGGACTATCTAGATCAGTTTGCCACTTTGGCTTTTCTGGAGCAATCAAACTGTCTCTCATTAACACGTGGCATGTTCACCCAAGGAGGAGTGGATGCTATTACCCCAAAATCTCTATTGAAATCATGTTCCAGTATACTGCAATGGGGTAAGGTGTTTGACAAAAATCCTTTAAGAGGATAGGGATGGGGGTGAAATCTTGTATGTAAAATATCTTCTGTACTTTCTTTGAGGATAGGCTAGTTTGGTGTTCTTGAATGAATCATGGTGTGATTAATTGTTTGATTATTACAATTTTGGGTTTTACTGATCTTCATTTTTGGTTTGTCGTTGTATCTTTGTTTTCAATATAGAAATTATAACATACACATGATTGGTGGTACTGTTGCAGCTTGATTTGGTAAATGTTTTGAACTTCTACATTTTGCCAGTTGCATAAAAAAATTCATGAATTCACCGCTGTTTACATTTATATGTATTTCGTTAAATCTAAACTGTTTTAATAATCTAACCACTTAATTGATAGCATATCATCAAGGTTGATTGAGTGAGACAAAATTCAACTGTGATAGGTGTTTAAGTATTGGTTAAAGCTGACCATGCAATGTAAACAAAAAAGACAAAGAGAAAAACGACATGACCATGTGAAAAGCAAGTGCAAGGCAACAAGAACTTAATTAAGTTGGCTAATCGTAGTTTCATTTCAATGAGCACTTTAAATTAAGTGATAAGGTACTGAAGTAAGTTGATAAGGTTCTTGTTGTGGCCAATTGGTCTTAGAATTTAAGCAGAAGAGGCCAACTTGTTGTATCATTATATTGATAATCCCATTTGACTGCATGGGTAAGGGACTCACATCTGCTTGCCCTTGTGGTTTGAACTTGATAAAATCCAAGCTAATGCTTGTGATTGAGCCAAAGCCACATGGCCCCTGTGGTCCATCTTCAAATACATGGGCAAGCAAACATTTGTGTCCCCAATTGTGGGTCTTGATTTTATTTATCTTCTGATATAATATAAATGTATCTATAATTGTGTTCGGATTTTGTAATTTAAATGATTAAGAATATTTATCTTTAAATCTAAGGTTTTGTATGCGGTTTTCTCTTTCTCAATATCAGTTTGATATCCAAAAGCTATATATCATTGCTTTATCAAATTATTTATCATTACCTTACAAAGAAATTAAAGCAGCGGATCTGCCTATATATTTACACACTTCAATTCAATAGCAATCAATTTTGAACAAGGAGAACTTCGATAGTCACCCACAACAAAAGCATAGAATATTAACCTTGTTATTATCTTTCTTCCGTGAACAAGACCCACGTGATAAGAGCGTGCATTTCAAAAACAGCATAAAAGACACCCGCTTTACTTCATTGCAATTTTATGCATGTTTTACATAAGGCGTATGCTTTTCTTAATTTAATTACCAACCAATTTCGACCAAGGAACCACGCAGCTCTGTACTTTTTGTTGGGGCAAACTTTTTCTAAGTGCTATCTCTCCTTTTGGATCACCATTGGTAATTAAATAATACCTTGTTTGTGCAAAGAATGTAGAAATAGGCCAACGGAGTTTAGTATAAAAAAAATAATTTTAATTTGCAAATTGTATGTCTCAGATTTGAATCCCCATGATATTTTAGTTGTGTATAACTAATATGAGCATCTTAAGTGGACTAATGGGAGGCCAAAATCATGTGGTACCAAGAATATATATTGTTAATTGCCCAACCTAAATGTTAAGAATATCCATTGACATATCCAGTTAAGAATGTCTTTTTAATGCCATTGGAGTATAAGTGAACTCTTCCGCCTCTACCTATGTAGGCAAAGGTTCAAAACTCCCAGACACTCAATGGATAGTTGTATAAATTCCCCTTCTTTAATCTCTTGTATTAAAAAAAAAAAAAATCTTTTTTTTTTTTAACAACATTTGTCTTAAACTTTGTTTTTAAATATCTCTTGTCTTAAACTTTGGGAACCAACCCATTTTATACATGCCAAATACCCTTTCCTTTTCCTTATCAATTTGTTAGGCAAAGATGTGGAGGCCCTTGTCATAATGTGTAATGCATTGAATTGAATGGATGATGACACATAAGTCCAAAACCAAAAGCTAGCGACTATGAAGGCAACCATTCATGAACAAACACCTTGAAAAGAAAAGTTACACTTTCATTCTTTCCACGAGTGAATTGAACCAAACTACAAAACCTGACCCTTGAAACGTCCTAATCCAACTTACACTTTTCTTATATAACTAAATCTTTCCACAGAAAAAAGAACCTACCCATAAAAATATCCCAAATTAAAAAAAAATTATTATTATATTTATATTAGAAGGACCACATCGTTGACTTCTTCTTTTTTACCGTCTCCTTTCTGGGGTCCAATGCGGTAAAGATGGGCTAAAATGCTTAGAAACCACCCTAGAGTCCAGTAACTCCATAATCGGGGTAAAATTCACACACCTCGGCACCTTATACTGGTTGATGGACGCCCCTCTTGAGATTGCGTAATCCATCAAGTCCTCAAACGTGCCACTCTTCACCACACGTATCTCCAGCGGCCCGATCGAGTTGTCCGCGACTCGGCCCTGTCGGTAAACCGAGTTCAGCGATTCCTCCATTGCCAAGCAGCACTGACTCATCACCGAGTCGACCGACTCGGTCTCCGAGTTTGCCGAGTCCTTCACCAGAAGCTCCCAGTAGATCACGTAGTGCCCCGGGATCGTCGTCGTGTCGGCGTAGCTCGTGTACTCAACGACGCTGGCGTTGAAGGATCGGAGAAGCTTAGAGGCGTTCTCGACGGCGAGTTGCAACTCAGCCTCGTCGGTCTTGTCCGAGTCGATGCTGAGCAGCACGTTCTTCCTCCGTACGAAATGGAACTGCGGCGCTGAGTTGTGGAACCCAGTGACTCGGAGGATGTCGCCGACTCTGTACCGGTACAGCCCGGCGTAGGTGGTGATGACGAGCTCGTACTCTCTCCCGACCTCAACGTTGACCAGGTCAACGAGTCGAGTCGTCATCGAGTCGCCGCGACTCGCCGAGTTGGGATCGTACGGCAGGAACTCGAAATAGGCCATGTTTGGCATTATGGTGTAGGAAACTTCGGATGGTTTGCACATCGGGTTGAGATTGAGTCCGAAATAGCATTCGGAGGAAGCATACATAGTGCACGCCATCGGCAAGCCGCCGCTGTAGTACTCCAAGGTCGGAATATATTGAGCCATTGCTCCGGTTACGATCACGTCCAGGTACTTGGTGTTTGGCCATATCCGGGTTAAAATCCCATCCCAGTTTTCATCTCCGCATTGTTTGGACACGAAGTCCGCCAGCTCCGGGTCGGGTTTTAAAATCCCGTCCATACATGACTTCAAATTCGGTTCGGTTATTTTCGGGTTGAGAGTTCCGGTTCGGATGTCGTTCACCAGTTGCTGCCAGTTGAGCTGGAGGAAGCGGATGGCCCGGAGAAGACCCGATGCGAAAACGGCGCCGAGTCGGAGGACTTGCTTGCGCTCAAGGAGGCCGCAGAGCATTTGGGCGTACATGCTCTGGAACGAGTCGGGGCAAAGAATGGCCTCGTTGGGGCTTGTGTAGACATTATACGGGTCGTACGGGCGGGTCTTGAAGTGCTCGCTCTTGTAGTAGCTGGTGAGAACAGGTCGGGCCAAGAGTCCACCCGGCGTCTTGGTTTCGGACTTCACGAACAGAAAGTACAGGCCCTTGCCTTTGTCCAGTCCAGGCACACAACTGTTCCATTAACCATTTAAAAATTAAATTTAGTCTTAGAAAAAAAAAATTTATTAAATTAAATAATTATAACGCGTATTTTAATTATTTAATTATGTAAAAAATTATAATTAAAAAAACTTACAGGTTCATGACGGGCATGAGAAGGCTGTACAATAATTGACGGCGATCCAACTCCTCCTGAATTGTTGGCATCAACTTCCTCTCTCCAGCTGAAGTCCCAGAACTGTAATTTTCCATGCAAAATAACTAAATAATTAATTTTTAAACTAAGAAAAATTAATTATATGAGTTGATTAATTTTGAATTAATTAATTAATTACCTTGTGAGGAATTCAGAGATTGGGTGAGCAGACAAGATGGGAGAGCGATCTCCATTGGCGATGCGTTGGATTTCGGGCTGGAGATCCTCGTAGGAAATGATCGGCAGTTTCGATTTGAACGTTTCGCGGTCGGTGGCGCCGCCGAGTTTGTATCTTTTGAGGTACTCAGTCTCGGCGTTTCGGGCCAGTATCTCAGCTAGCACCCGCTCTTGCACCGGGTCGGCGTTTCGGGTTGTTTCTTCAATGAATTTCAGCGCCTTGGCGTCTTTCTTGCAGGCCGGTGGCCCGAGTGGAGAAAGGGAAGAGTCAACGGCCATTTGAAGATAAGATTTTGAAGTGCGAGATTGTCAATTAAAATGAAGGAAGAAGGAAGAGTTTTATTACGTGTTGTGTTTTGTTGATTCGAACGGAGAAGATAAGGTGAAGAAAGAAGGAGAGGAAGAGAAGTGTGGAGTTTGTTTGTGTGTTAGGTAGGTGTAGTGAGATTGTGGAGTGGGATTGGGGCCTTTATATAGGGAGGGAGGAGGAAGGCGGTGGGGCCCACGGAGGGTGGGGAGGGGGGCGAAGCTGACGATGGGAAATATGGAGAGAGTCGTGGAAAAGTAAAAACAAAAAGGGTGGTCTGGGAGAAGAGGGACAAAGTTGGACCCACAACACGTAGACATGGCCTGAAATGAGGCAGGCATGTGGGGTTAGGTCACCGCCATGTCAGCGTAGCCAAAGGGGTCGAGAGAGACCTTGAGCGGGGTATTTCGTAATTCCGGAGGCCCAGTAAGGGGAGTGTGCATATATTTTGGAAGGTCATACGCGTCAGCCAACCACGCGGACTGTTCCGAGGTAAAATGTTGGGCATGGACAGCGATGGATGGCCGGCAGACCAGGCAGTTTCTCCTGTTGCAGGCCCCAAAAAAAAAAAAAAAGAATTGCCACGTGAGTCATTACGCAAATCACAAAACAAAAACGGAATGAAAAAGCAAATTTGGTGATTATCCATCTTCATCTTCTTTTTGTTTGTTGTATTAATTTTGTCATTAATTACATCTCCAACAGTCTCATTGTCTCAACTACTTTAAACAAAAAAACAAACATGCTGAATTAATAAAGTTAGGCATAAGAATAAGCTGCATCTTCATGTGCATGCATTCTTCTTTTTCTCAACTCAAATTCAATTCATATTCATCCAGTTCCACTGTCAGTGTGATGTGCAACAGTTATCTGTATTATGTTTGATGCTCCAAGTTCTTGTCTCTTGATTGAAAGAGATACAGAGACATTAAAGCAAAGGTCCAAAAGCTTTTTACTCCAAATTCTTTTCATGTGTATATATATTATACACACGTGAGCGCGCAACAAAATTTCATAATTTACGGGTCTAGTAGAATTGGTTTACCATGCTCTTATTCGGGTTATCATGTGTTACCAATAAAATTACTATCGTTTCTATTAAAAAAAAAAGAAAAATAAAATAATCATGTTAATCAACGGGGGCGCATGAACCACTATAACTAAAGGAGGGAGACTGCTGCTAATAACCGTCACAATCATAAAATAAAAAATGAGAATCTTTTCATTTTCGTGTCAAATAATAATAAGAATCTCTTATATTTTTTAATACGTCTCTGCCGACATTTCATCATCCTCTTCCTGTTGGTCTTCCACATGTATTTTATACACCCCACAAACTCAGCATCTTCTTTAGAATTTAGTTTACTTTTTTTCTTCTTACTCTCCGATCACCACGTGGCCGTACTGCTGTAATATTCTATAATTTTTTAATATTCGATTTAATATTGTGCATGCATTTTTCAATTTTGGGTCAGCCGGGATGACCAATCGCAGCAGACACCATATGAAGAATGCTCACGAAATTGTGGAAAATATAACAAATATAAAAAAAATCAAAGTTGTTGAGAAAACTCCAAATTATGCCATCCAAATAACTAATTTTCATAGACTTTTATATCTCTTTGCATGCAACACACTATGTGAGGGGAAAAAAAACCAATAATTATATTGCGGTGCCGTGAACCAACAGCCACACGCCACAATTTCTTGCCGGATTTGAAGAGCTTGTTTTGGCCGGTGTCAAAATTTGGGGGCATACAAAATCTAAAATGCTCTATCCAATTCCTCATCTGGGGTTTTTTTTTTTTTCCACGGTCAAATTGTGTGGCAAGGACTTTGGACTAGAAGCCGAAATAGGGTTTGCTTTATTTGTGAGTTAGGTTTTCATGGAAAAAGAATGGCTGTAGAGACCTTGACTTCTCAACAACTTTATGCCCTGGCAAGGCTGCAAAAGATAGAGACACGTAAAGGAGCTTTTCTTTTCAATTTGTTTGTTCAGCCATATTTGAAATTAAAAAGGGACCACGAAACAGTAATTAGTATACATCATTAGGCTGAATTTAGCTTACATCATTATTTTATTATGATAATATATTTATATGTTTGCTCTGAATTGATTAAACATAAGACTGACCAGCTCTCTCTTTCTGTCTCACTCATTTCAGATAATAGGGATAAGTTCCCACTAAAGATGTTTGTCTTTACAAAGCTAAATTTAAAACACAATGCATGCATATATCATGGGCGGAGGAGGGGCATACATCAAATTAATTAATTAAAATACGGACATCCGCATGTTATTATCCGCATATTATTATTGTGCACTGTGGTGATTCATAGTTTAATAATATACATAACATATCAGACTGTCTGATAAGAAAATATTAGGATTTAAATACCTGTTAATTTATTGAACAACATAACTCATGCGTTTGGGAGACCGGTAGCGGATTGGTTGGACAATAATACCTACTTGCATGAATAAACAATTCAGGTAGTCTTAAGTGCAACAGATAAAAAAATTGTTGCAAGGAAAATTCTAGGTTTGTACTGTTCTGCAGGAAAAAAATTTATTCTTTAGAACACAAGTTGGACGACAGGACCTAATTAAGTAGTATAACAAAGATTAACAAGTATTTTACAGTTCTTTAATCCAAGCTTTCGAGGTGCTTCTGACTAGGAAGCTTGCATATGCTTGTGATCCTTCTTTTGTTAGCAACTGATTAATCTTGCAGACAAAGTCACAAACTCCAATTTGGTGGACATTAATTCCTGTTTTCTGTTCAAGAATGGAAACCAAGAACATGTTCTGATGCAAAATAAAATACTGAAACTAGGGTTAGCAGGATACAGAAGAAAATTAAAGAGAGCAAAGTTTGGTCTGCAGAAGGGATCTGACGTGAAAAATAAAATAAAATAAAATAATTTCGTGATTAATAAGTGAATGACGGACGAATGTTTCAAACGTCTAAATTAGTCATCTTGGTCGGTTATTAGATTAAGACCACAAAACTTGATTAGACTCAGAGATGATCAATTTCAATCATGTAAACCGACTTTCTGGCCGTACAAACTAATTATTAATTGAAATACGGAACACTTCATATATATCTTGTTAGCTGGCCATTAATTATTTTGGGTATTAATAGTATTACCCCAGTTTCAACTTGGGTCTCAAAACTAAAAATTATAGCTACTTGTTTGTACAATTATATTTTATTTTTCAAAAGAAGTTTATTGAACGAACCCCATTTACTAATCACAATATTTAGGGCACACCTTAGGTGTAATTTTTCATAAAATACTTTAGGTGAATTGACACAGTCATATATACTCGTACTCATTATAGAAGTAGCACCAACATAAGATATCCGTTAATCACATTATGCCTCGGCACGTGTAGTAAGAAAGTTGTAGGAAATCTTAACTGTAAGATTATACGTAAAGACTTTTCATCCCAAATATCACAACGAAACTCACCTATACAAGAAACAAGAGACCTGAACATGTCACACACTTGTGAAATATATGATCAACATTCAACCCATAAAGATGGTACATTTAGCATTATTGGATTTAGTCTTAAAAGTGTGAGATGGACCCCAAAAAAAGGAATAATAGTCTTTTGAGAAATTGAAGAGAAAGGAAGAGTTTGATTTGATTAGTCGCGAAGTGGAGCAAACGCGGTGCTAATAAGGAAGGTGGGTTGGACGGTGAAAACAAGCGGCAGGCAGCCAGCAATTTCAATTTTTGACTCGAAAGTCAAAAGTCGTCCGTGCAATAAAATAGCTCCGCACTGCACGTGGAAATTTTGTAAATGCGCAATGCGCATCCTCGTTCCCGATTCACGTGAAACATAACGGTGGGGATCTAACATGCGCGCACAGCGCAGCACAGCACAGCACAGAGCGCTGGTTTCCTAATCACTTCCCAAGTCTCCGTGGATTTTCATTTCCAGTCTCCAGTCAAAGTCTGTAATTTCCTCCTCCAGAGTCCAGTCCAAAGGTAACGGCGCACGCCGCATTGCATTTGCATGCATAAATAATGATTCTTACCGTGTTAATTAATTAATTAATTAATATAAAATTACACTCAAATTAACCAATACACAACACATGCATAAGGACAAAACGGGAAATTTAGAAAACAAACAATTTTCTTTAGCACATTAATGACTTTTAGCCTCCTTTTAAGATATAGGCATATATTCTATACAAATTTATAAATAAACCCAATCCTAGACATGTATTTATAAAAAAACCCAAGCACTATTTAAACATAGAAACACACCCAAAATCAACCCCAAAGTCAACTTTTTGGGTGTGTTTATAAATGAGTTTTAAGTGTGTGTAATGATGGGTTTTGGGTGTGTTTATATGTTTAAATAGTGCTTGGGTTTTTTTATAATTTCAACCCCCATTTTGGGTGTTTTAGTGAAACTCCCTATATTCTATCTAGCATAAGTTAGATGTGTGGCTCTTTCTTAAGTTTTGTTGTCCTTAGAGGAGGCATATTGTCCTTACCCTGGACTAGGGATTGAACCTATCCTAGAAGCTAGATAGAGCAATTAGTGTGTAGTCATGCTTTTGCCTACCCTTTGTACGGAGAAAAGAGCAATAAGTTTGTTTGTAACCAAGGCACATCTTATGGATTTCGGGGCATAATTTTTTCGGCTTTTTATTAGTAGACTCATTCCAACATGATATTTATCTATATAAAATAAAAAGTAGAGAATGGTGAAATATTCAAATTATTAAAAAATATCATTGATTAATTCAAACAGTAAGAATTAAAATTACTAATTAAATGAGGATAATATGATAAATTCACACTTTTTCATATTTAAAAAAATTTAAATTTAAAATAAAATTAGATAATAGGTCATACTTTTATGAAACATAGCTACCCATATTATCTTTTCTTAATTCTAAAAATAAATAAATAATAAAACCAACTGGCAGGGGCTAGTATTATATAAAACAAAATGCAAAGAATGGTGAAACATTCAAAATACCAGAAAATGCCATTTGGTTAATTCAAATATTAAGAATTAAAATTATTAATTTAATGTAATATGGTAAATTCACATTTTTTTTTTCATATTAAAAAAAATTAAAATTAAAAACAAAA